GCACCCGATTGACGGGGGGGCGGGGGATATGGGACCACAGGCTGTTGTCGCCTCCTCAAGCAGCCACAGACTAAATCACCGCCTCGTCGGTTAAATGGAAATTGCCATGTTCCGCATAGTGCCGGTCGAACCCTTGGGCACCTACATGTACCAGCACTAAAAAGGGCCCTACACTGCTCTACCAACACCACCGTGTAGAAGGCGTACATGACACAACACTTGACTTTCACGATTGAACAGGGGAAACGGACGGCTGAATCATTGCGGCGACGAAACCAAAAACAATGAAGATCAAACACAAACACCGAAGATGAATGAGAGTTGTGGAAAAAATAAGTCTTCGAAAGGAGCAACAACAAAAACTCGCGGTGATTTCCTTCCTACTTGCGTAGCCCCTTGCGGGCGCGTCCACACAATGCACCTAAGGAGATACTGTAGTTCTGACGTCCACAAGTGACAGAATGAAACCACGCACACGAAACCGTCGAAACGGGTCACAAGGCGTCCTCGTGCCTTCCCACATCTGAGAAGAAAAAAAAAGGCCAACCCGGGGCACCGAGGGGTTCCTCGCTTGTTTCAAAGATCATCGAAACGGGGTTTCGGGTCGGGACGGGTCGCGTCGCGTACCTTTCTGAACAAGCGCTTCGATCCCCCTCCGGCGCTCATGGGGTAGTAAATGTACACGTTGTGGTTTTCCGCGTCTACCGGCTTTTCCACGAACGGCTTGTGCACCGTCACGCTGTTGACCTTCGCACCATACAATTTCGGACAAAAAAAAGTGTATGTGTGTGTGTGTAGAGGTGAAGTGACGGAGGCACGCAGCAGTTAGTGCACGCGGTTTTCTCCAGACTCGGTGGTGCGGGTATCACATCCAGATATAGGTTTCTTCGACACGTGCGGCAATCAACCAGCTATTCCACGACACGGTCCTCAGGTTCGGAGACCCACATGCGCACGCATCCTCTTTGGCACAGCAACGCGGAAGCGTCGGTTGCGGCTTGACCCTCGAACGACTCGCTCGACAGTGTGCCTCTTTCTTTCTCTCATAGTCAGGGTACCTAATGTTCTCCTCTCATATCCAGCGCATCCATTGAACAGGACGCAACCCCCCCGTACACTCGGAACAAGGACCAAAGAACAAGAGAACCGCAAGTCCGCCGGACAACCACACACATCCTCTGGCCTTGCTGCTATGCCGTCTTAACCGACGCAAATGTAACCTCGTGTGTCACGTATTGTACCCAGCAACATAAATAAGACTTCGCCACCGCTAACGACCCTGGGACTTTGGAACCCCAGGCTAAACACATACCCGCGGGCGTACATGATCCTGCCCGCAAGGACAGGTGCTCAGCTAAGAATCCGACACTTCAACCGGTAAGGTTGCTGTTGGGGTACACCTCAGAACAGGGGACAAGATACACGAACCTCGGGCAACCACAAGAGGTCCTTAACCAACAGTTGTAAGTGATGGCGTGTTCTACCATTCCCTGACACCACAAGAGAACAACATAACAAGAAGCAAGTCCCAACTAGGCCGGCCTCTCTACAGCAGTACCCCCAAGGTGGTGTCGAAGCAACCAACCGACTGAGAGGCAAAAAAAAAAGAAGTCAAGCGAAACCGCAGTATACCAAGGAACCCAAACCTAACCTGAATGTAGTCGTCCGCCTCCACAATGTCGAGCTCCTCCAGCTTCTGCCCGCCATAACTTTTTTGACCCGTCCCGATGAGAAGGGGGGCGGGGGGGGGGATGTGAACCACGAACGGCAGACAGAGTACCCGCGACGGAAACGGAGTGGGCACGTTCCATGTCAGGAATACAAGGGCAACAGCAGATGGGACGACCAGGGTCAACAGCATGAGGTACATAAACCGAGAGGAAGGTGCTGCTGCAAGGAACGTGGTGTCTGTATCAAGCGGGCTGCCGCTTGCGGGGACCCCAGATCCGAGTTAGACACACAGCGGTGCTATGGAAGGGTTTTGACCCCGCCTTCCCCAAACAACAGCAACAGCAGCAGCAGCGCAGTGACAGTCACGGACACAGCAGGAGCAGCAACAATAGCAACTGCAGCAGCAGCGCAGTGACAGTCACGGACACAGCAGGAGCAGCAACAATAGCGACAGCATCAGCACCGACTGTAGACAACCACAACATCAGCAACCATCACCGGAGTCGATACCACCACCACCACCACCACCGAGAGAAACCAACATACCCATCTCTGCTGGCGTAGACGTTCTCCGGATGTGGCACCCCTTGGCTCTCAAGCAAGTCGTACACCTTTCACAATCCAACGCGACGTTT